GGGGTAGGGCTTATATTACAAGCATCCTGAAAAATCACACTAGGGCTTATTTTCAGGTTAGGTCTTATTTTTGGGGAAACGGTATTCGCAGAGGCACAGTGAGGAATAAAGTTCCATTCCTAAACTACTGAGCTATCTAGCCAGCATATAATAAAATCTATACAATTCACTACATTTTAACTATGTCATGCCCAAGTGTTTCACAGGCAGCTCTTTTGTTTAACCACCGAACATAGGGACACTGGGTGTATTTTTCCTCATTCACCTATTTCAGTTACTAGAGACAAGGAGGTGTCCCATCTCAAAAGCTTCAATATATCGACCTTTGCTAAGCTGTGAATAAGCTAGAAAAATAGGAAAAGCATCACAAAAGGAAAACAGTAATCACTGATTAGTGTTCAGGTTACACAAGATGAAACTAGAGCTGTGCAAGAATTTTACTTATCTCAAAAAAAAAATTGCATCTTCATCCATCAAGCTCTATTTTTTTCCAGTGGTTGTCTCTGGAATATTCCAGGTGGTCCCCATGAAAGACAACAGTATTTTGCCTATTTTCATCCTACACTTTATTCCTATTGTGTTCCACTCCTTCTCATAAAGACATAGAAACAAAGGCACCCTCAACTACATGGGCATAGATAGCTTTTGCCAGGTGCTAAGCCAAAAAGACCTGAAAATAAGACTGAGGGTCACACAGTTCTTTTAAATATCTGCCGCTCAAGAGTATACTCATATACCCTACACTAAAAGAAGAACTATCTGAACAGGTGTTTTTTTTACTATCTCCAGCTAGCACTGAATTTTATGGGTATTTCAAACAGGGATTTAAATTGGGATTTGAAAAAGCCAACAGCTTGTGCCTAGATGAGATAGGGAATTAATTTCATCCAGCCCTTGCCATAAGGTACATACGAGCCACACAATGACCTCCTTACAGATGAGTCTTTATTCTCTTGCTCTGGAAGCAAAGAGGTACAAGCAGTATTTCATTCTGGAGGTACCTTGATAATTCACCAAGTGAACACTGAAGCCAAGTGAACACTCAACCTCTTTGAGTTCTTGCTATTACTTCCAGACGGATATGGAGAGACAACTGCCTCCTGCACATCCTTTCCCAACTCATACACCAAGAATGTTGGTTTTGGTTAGGCTCCGCTCCTTCCTTCACTGACCATCTTTGTCCAATATCCTATGGCGGCAAGCAGCTAAAAGACCCCCCTCAAATAGTACCTGACCCCTTCCCCTCCCCATTCTCCTTATGGGATATACACTACAAACATCACATATACAATTATCTATATCCATACTTCAAAAACAGCTAACTTTGCCCACTCGTTTAGAGTTAGAAAAGTTGTTGGTTTTTTCTAAAGAATGCTTTCTAGAATTCTCCAGTCAGTATCAATAGTGGCTATGCTGGCTGTAAGAGGATGGAAACCATAATCCAGAAAGTACCTTCACCCACCTTAGTTATGGCTACAATTGCTCCTCATTGAGGAGACATGGAATCAAGATTCACCTCACCGGCTCTTAGTGAGAGGGAAGACCAAGAAGAGACATGGTTGTCCTTTGAAGATTGGGAATCCATAGCCAAAAAAGTTCTGCTATTGGACAGGAAGACGAGAGAGAGAATAAGAAAAGAGAAGGGAAGAAGAGAGGGAGAAGCAGCGCCAAGGAAATGCAAGATGTATGGTTTGGAAAGAGAGTCTACAGTTGCCACCTCCAATTATGTTAAATGGAAGAGGAGAGATAGCTTCCTTCTTCTATGCTTCTATATACAACCCCTCATGAATGAATTGACTCCGAAAGGAAATGTCCTATTTGACTCTTCAATTAGGATGCTATCTTCAAAACACAATCACTAGGATCCTCTCTGTATAGCCCTTGGTCTCCTAGTTCAGCTAAGGAACACGAAAGTCTTTAAGGCTTTATTAAAGACCCCCCCCCAAGGGTAGTTTTCCTGGAACTACAGGGTGGGAGGGGAAGGATCCTGGGGAAAGGAGACTGAGCCATTTATAAACTTCATCACTGAAATGCTCTCAAGAGTTTTGCCTGTAGGATCCTAACAGCTACCAAGACACATTTGGATGGCAACTGCCAGATTTAGCAGCTAGAGAAAGATTTAAAAATTGCACCGTACCACTTGGGAAAAATCAGGTTGACTGTACGTGGCAAGGCCTTCTTTAATGTAACAGCATGCTGTTTATGGCCCTCCCTTCAGGACATTAGCCCATTCTTTACAAAGCTTTCAAAATATCTCTGCTCTTCATTTTCTTATAGCTGATTATTCTGATGTATCTCTTTTTAAATATGTGTGTTTGTCATTTTATGCAATCTGTGTATTGCCTGGTGAACTCACTGAACAATAGGGAAAAAAATCACATATGAATAATATTTTTGGAGCTGGAGCTACCCATAATTAGCAAACACAATCTAATAAAAATTATGCAGAAATCTGGTTAACTTGCAAAAGTAAATGTGTGTATGTGTAAGAGTTTCATTAACAAGAGAGAAGAGGCACACAAGTTCACAGATTGCACCCATAGTTTAAAAGTCATGTCCGCACCAGGCTCCTTTGCTTGTGTGATGTCCGCACCAGGCTCCTTTGCTTTGGCCTCAGAGAGAAGAAATCCCAGAGGAATAACCTTAAAAAACTCCTGCAAACACCAAACTTATTTTTCAAAGTTTGTTTTTTTCACTTATTTCCTCTACATTTTACAGATAAAGTCATATTTACATAGTGAACCTGCTTCTGCAATAGTAACATAGACTCCTAGGAGGAGGAAAAAAAACTGATTTATGGCAACCCTTTCCAGGGTCTTCTAGGTAGAGAATACTCACAAGTGGTTCCCCACTCTCTTCTTTTGGGGGCAACTCTGAGACTGCAGCTTGTCCATGACTACATGGGTTGGCTCTGGGAGGCACAACAGGAAATGAAACTCTCAACCTCTGACTCTGCAGCTAGATACCTAAACCACTGAGCTATCCAGCCTTTTGAAACATAAGTCCTGATCAAAACCACTCATCAAATAGCAACCATAAGAAGCTTTGCAGAATAATTCTGTTCATATCTCTTTGGCAGCAAGAGGGACTTGCTCCCAAGGAAGGCTGCACAGCATTGCAGCCTCACTCTTCTAGACCACATATATTCCTCTTCTGTTTTGTATTAGGGTTCTGCTGCAAGAAGAAATAATCAGAGCAACCACAACTGAGATTAAACTTCCAGGTTGCTCAAGTAAGGGAGGCAGGTTACATGAGAAGAGAACAAAACAAAAAACCCCAATGCAAATACACAAAGCCTACCAGCCATTCCCACTGCAGAATATCCTCACCCCACCAGAGATAATGCATCTTTTTTTTCTTTTTAAGGCAAAGTTACAGATTAGTTCGTCTATTCAATAATACTTACCTTCTGGTACATCAGTATTAACAATGGCAGAATATTTATGTAAAAAAATAGCAAGGTTTACAGGAGAAAACTTTACAGGGCAGAAATGTAAGGGTTTCCATTTCTATTCTACAGTACAGCCTTGGGCAAGTTATATACCCCCAGCCTCTGACTCTGCCAAAGAAAGAGAAGCAATGGAGAAACACCACACAGCTTTGTTGTGAGGCCAATTATATGTTTGCTATCACTGCATATATGGAAAAAATTAACTTCAAGATACAAAGCAAATTAAAAACAATTAATAGTGTACCCCTCCCCATTATGTTCTATTAAAATTTTTCAACAGCACCCAAACATTAGCTGGAAAAATCATTCATAATATTCTCCATCAAGAGAAAATATTTTGAATTATTTTTCTAGAAACCACACCAGAATCATTACACTGACATGTCCTTAACTTTATTAGAACTCTTAGCATGAATCTGTATATCCTTTTTTCGTGACTGCTTTACAGCTCCTTTTGCCACTTCCCCCTCCCCCCAACCTGCTTGTCTATCCAAGTGAAGAAACAAAAAAAATCCACATTTTAACAAATCAGATATACTTTTAAAAAGTTGTCCTATGAATGCTGGATGTTCTTTTCTGTTTTAAAAGCACCCACTCAAAGATCCCCTGATTACATAGAATTAGAAAAAAAAGAGCACACACTATGTTAGAGCTATTTTCAAAAAGAATGTGAGATTTTGAATTTATTCTGATTAGCTCACCCAAAAGAAAAAGGTCTGTTTGTCTTTATATATACACACCCACAATATGGATATATATCTTGCATTCTTGTTTTGGGAAGTTTTTCTGTCCCGTTCCACTGTTAAGTCCTCAGAAAATCCCCCCACTTTCACTCTCCCAATTTGGAGAGTGGTTTCTCCTGCTGTTTTCTAAGTTCATTCTCTTTCAAGAGTTTTTGGTTCTCTGCTCGCAACCTGTCCAGTTCCATCAAGTCCCCCATGAATTTCTTATTCTCCATCCGCAGGCAGTTGTTCTCTTCCTCCATCTTGGACAGGCACTTCTCCAACTCCAAGTACTCCTTGATCAGCTCCTGCTTGCTCATGTTCTGCAGGCTTTCCACATGGTACCTCTCATAGGTCTCCGAGAAATCCTTCTGGAGAAATTCGCTGCCGTCTCCTCCCATCCCATCACTACCACCATCTTCCTCCTCTACAAAGTCTTCTTCACTTGTTTCGTCCGACTTGGTAGCAGCCTTCTTGGGGCAGAGATCCGTCTTCAAATCAGGCTCTTCCTGATCATGGTCCTCCATCAAGAACTGTGTGGTGTTGTATGGTGCCACTGGCTGCCCCTTGGCAAACATCTCTGCCCGCAGTCTGGAAGCCCGCTGGCTCTGCTTCTCATCAAACTTCTTCTTCTCTTCCCAGCTGAGCTTGTAGTATGGCTTCCAATGCCTCTTCTTTTTGGAAGGGCGCCTCCTATGCTTCTTCTTGCCCAGCTGCTTCTCCTCCTCCCCCACAGCTTGAGGCCTGCACCGCTGGCCAACAGGGCCACTATACTCTTGGCATGGCACAGTCATCGGGTTCCCATCATCAGCATTCTGCAAATTTGCAACTTCACTGCAGTTTGGGCCAGCAACTTCACCTCCAGAGGCCCCCAAACCTTGGCTTCCCCCAACCAAAAGAGTGTCCCATTCTGCACCAGGGCAGGCATCCATACCACTCATGGGGCTACCATCCTGCTGCATGGCCTCTCTTGGCTGCCACCTACCGTCCATCTCTTCTCCTTGCAGCATTTTCTGGGTGGTGGGTGGAGACAAAACAAAAGGTCCCCCTCCATCGCCTCCGACGCCGCCGCCACCATCTCCACCACCTGCACCCCTGCAGGTGGAGATGGGAGAAGTTTTGCCGTTTGGTTGCTGTTGGCTAGCTGGCAGGGCAGCATCAGCCATTGCTAGATCGCTTGACAATCTCCTCTCCTCTTGATCTGTGTGGGTTTTTTTTTAAAGTCCAAATGGGCTCAGTTCTCTCTTGTCTTCAAAGGAGGAACGTGGAACAACCAGCAACACCTTTAAATTCTGATGTTATGGGTGCCAGGTTTATTAAGTTCGTTGAAACTAAATACAGTACTGTACCTTTAATCCTTCAGGCACTGGACTTCATTCAGAAGGCTCTCCCAGAACAAGTTCTCAGATAGTAGATATTCTGCTTGTCTCTGTCACTTATCTGCGAGATCACGAAAACGTCACTGTTAACCCTTGCCGAAGACGGAACTCCACAGCTGTCTTTGTTACCCAGTGGCCTTTAAACTAGCATTCTACTCGGAGAACTGGGCAAAGTCTTTAAAAAAAAAAAACAGGTTTCGCCCGTCCAGTCCACTTCTCTCCCTTTTTTACAGCATCTCGATTCTGAACATCTGGAAATGTAAAGCGATGCAGGGTGGTGGGAAAAGTCGGGCTGGGAGACTCGACCGCTCAAGGCAACTTCTATGCAACAACAATGTTGCAAGTTTTTTTTAAAAAAGCACCAAAGATGAAAAGACCAGTGAATGGTTAGGAGCACATCTTCACTCCTTTGTAGTCCATAAGGAGTTAAAAGTCTCCGAATCCGTGCGCCCAATGGTTAACGTTGCTGAAGGTCGGGCATCAAAGAGTTAAAGGCAGCTCCAGTGCCAAGGGGTGTGTGCAAGCAATGCTTCCCTTTTACGAAGGCAGACCCCAATAATCCGGCAGAGAAAAAAAAGTATTTTTCAGTCCAAGATATAGCAAATAAAAAAGCCCAAAATACAGCAGATGAAAAACTCTTACATCCAGGTCCGATCGGGTTAAAAATGCCGTCCTCCGCGGGCAGTAAAGAGTTAACCCAGACAGGAACGGGTTAATTCCACGCACACCCAACGTTCGAACAACCACCCATGTCCCAACCTCTCACTCCCTACACCCTAGCTCCTCCAACCCTCAACTGCTACTCGCAGCGCGCTGCCTCGCTTTATATAAACGAGCCAGCCCCCACCTCTCAGTGCGCAGCCGCCCCGCATCACCCTTCTCCCGAGGCATCTTGGGATGTGTGGTTTCTGATTCCGATCGATTGCCCAGCTCGCTCTCTACACGATGACTACAATACCCAGAATAAGTACAGGTCGACGTTTCTCAGCCACTTATCGTCCGCGTAGGGTTGGACAGAAAACGAACCGCTCTCTGATTGGCTTTCTAAAAGTCTACGACACGAATGGCTACAACGGACATCATTCATTCGTAGCTGTGCCAATGAAAGGAGGATAGTAGAAGGCGGTGGAGGAGGTGGGAGTGGAATATACCATCAGTTCACACGGGGGTTGAGAGCTCCCGCGAGCTGAACTTCTTCCTACGGTTTTTATAGAACGTACCCTGAGACAACAGTCACTTTATACTCTTTATTGTTTTTGGCAGGGTTAGCAAAAAATAGCCCGGTTGGGATTCACAGCAAGAAAAATAATGGTAGCGTCCAAAAAATAGTTCCATCGCGGGTCTGACGATTAAGAGGATTCTGCAATGGGCTACCAGATTGGGAGTGCGGCATTTCATTAATACCGCAAATATTTGTCGGGAGGAGAGATGTCATCTGATGGCGAAAAAGATTTGGATTGCAGAGTTGGGTGAGAAGCTCTTGCTGGCGGAGGAACACTTCGTCGTGCAAAGAAACAGGTTGAGTTAACCTATGACGGTGACTGATCCGCGTGGAAGGAGTTGTAAACAAACCGAAGTTAGAAACCAGTTCCGTCTTAAAGGCACAGTGTCAGACCTTCCTCTGAAGCAAGTGATGTAATTGAAGGCCTGTGAAGGAGACTGTGGGCTAGTGGTTAAAGACCAGGAACTTGGCACCTTATTTTTTTTTCTTGTTGCCTCTTCTGAGGAAAACATATGCGTATGGCAATAGATTAAATTAGAGGACGTTTATTAGTCAGTACTGCTCGATTCTCTTCGTGTCTGTTGGGGAATCCAGGATGGCGTTCAGAGACTGCTTTCTAGGCATCGATGCAGGACCTCAGACTTATTTGGATGGCATGGGAAACATTCCTCCCTGTCCCAGATATTTAAGAGTATTGCAAATCAATAGGCAAATAAATGCACTTTGCACATGCTCTATTGCATCAACATTCTACATTTTTGGGGCGCTCAGATTAAATATGACCTGATAAAAACAAACAAACAAAACCCAAGGGACCAGTATGGGCGCTGCCCAGTATTTACTGTATTTCCAGACATATTGTGATGGGCTGGAAGTTCAAGGAATGAGTGAACGAACAGGTCCCTTTGGATCAAGGAGGCATTTGTCACTTGCAGCCTCTCACTTCCCGGAGACTTTGAAGTTGGGCAACAAGAGGGCATGGGGCGGTGGGGGTTGTGCTAATAGTTTGCTATTCCTGTGACAGGGGCACTTGGGCGAAGTCTCACCTTGGAAGGAGGTGGTTTGAGGGTAGAGAAAGGCTAAAACTCTCAGGATCATGGGATGTGGTGGTGGACGGAGAGGGAATTCTGGGGAACCCTGATTTTGAGGCACTTGTTTCCCTTTTATTTCTTACAATAGAGAGAAGACTCAATAAATCTGAAGTTTCAGTAGCCCATCAAGTTTGCATTTGCAAGCAAAAGATATCTACAGTCTAAAGAGAAACCAGAGCGTATGTATTCTATGAAGCTAGATTCACTTTTATCTAATGCATCATTTAAATTTAATCTCTGACTTTGCTGATATTGGGATTGCCATGTTTCTGGATGCTTCTGCTCCAAACGAACGCAGGAGGCATGCAGGGGCATGTGCTACTAAGGCAGCAGATTGTTGGCTGAAAGCCTGTGCACCCTTTGTACATGGAACGGAAATTCTACATCCCTTTGAGAAGTGACCTCATAATGCCGTGCCAGAAGTTGCTTCTTCATGCCTATAGACTCCATTTTGGGATTTATGTGACTAAAGATGCCATAATATTTAGCTAGGATAATTTCTGATCTTTTTTTCTGGAGGGGGGAAGGGGGAGGTTCCAAGTTTTGTAATATTTGCCTAATTAAGAATTCTGAAGGAACGAAAGTTCACCCAATGATATTTGGCAGTCTAATGAAATATCACCCAACACTTACAATTTATTTTATTTTATTTGTAGACTAGATAGTAGTGTTTCTTTTAAATAATAAAAAATAAAACATAGAGAAGTAAGCCAAATATTGCACAGGTAAAAATTTATGCTGAATGCAGAATCCTACTGTGGTCAAGGTTCCATTTCAATCTAATACTGTTTTGAACACTCTTTCACTTTGAACAGTCAGTAAACAGATGTGGGCCACATTTTAAAGAGAGAAGAAGCAAAATAGAAACAGTGTGCAAGGGCATATCTTCCACAGAAGTTTCTAGCATAAGAATTGCATCCCGTAAGACGTAGACAATAAGCATAAATTGCAGGAGTTTGGATTCAGTGTGTATCTTATGAAATTTCAGATTTTTAAAGGCATATTTTGATGAATTTGTAGGGCTGCTGAGATCTTGCAAAATGCTTTCATACACCTCTTGCTAAAATATTTCTTGTCTGCCAGAAATATTATTCATTTTATTATTTTATTTATTTATTTAACTTATATGCCGCCCACACTACCCGAAGGTCTCTAGGCAACTACTTTAAAGATTACCAGAACAAAGGTGAGGGCAGTCTGTGAAATAAGCAGCCTAGTAAATACGTTGCCGAGTAAGAAACTGAGGCTGGAAAAGTGAAGTTTGCCCCAAGCTTTTCAGACTAACAGTAGAGGCAATGTTTAAATCCAGGTCAGATTCGAACTCTCTAGTTTAATGGACCACACAAGTCTTCTAGCACCAAATATAGCGAGCTACCAGACTCTGTGTAGTCCAAAGAGATTAACAGTGCAATCCTATATGATCCACTCAGAATTAAGCCCAGTCCAGTTCTGTTGTTTACTTCCATGTGAGTGTGTATAAGACTACTGTCCAGTGAGAACTACTGAGAAAGTAAGATGGGTTGGGTATACCAGTAGTGCAAACTTGAGCATATTTAGTAAGAAATAAGTTTATTTCTAAGGGGACGTGGTGGCTCTGCGGGCTAAACCACAGAAGCCTGTGCTGCAGGGTCAGAAGACCAAGCAGTCATAAGGTCGAATCCACGCGATGGAGTGAGCACCCGTCGCTTGTCCCAGCTCCCGCCAACCTAACGGTTCGAAAGCATGCAAATGCAAGTAGATGAATAGGGACCACCTTGGTGGGAAGGTAACAGCGTTCCGAGTCTAAGTCGCACTGGCCATGTGACCACGGAAGATTGTCTTCGGACAAAACGCTGGCTGTATGGCTTGGAAACGGGGGTGAGCACCGCCCCCTAGAGTGGGACACGACTGGACAAAAATTGTCAAGGGGAACCTTTACCTTTACCTAAGTTTATCTCTACTTTTTCCCTTAAAATATTTATACTTTGCCTTTCTCCTCAAGAGGACTAAAGGCTATTAACAATATTAAAACAAACTACTGTATACGAAAACTTTGTGCGGGCGGGGGAGACACCCAGCAGCCGTGTTTTTATCAGCTGGACAAAAATTGTCAGGTTACTCTGTGTGTGTGTGTGTGTGAGAGAGAGAGAGAGACAGAGACAGAGACAGAGAGAGAGAGAGAGAGAGAGAAGGACTGCAAAGAGGGAACCAGCTTGGCTTCCCATGGGAGGGAGTCCCACAGCTTGGGAGAAGGTCCTCTCCTGTGTCCCTACCAAATGTATCTGTGAAGGTGTTGGGACCAAGAGAAATGCTTCCCCTGATGATTTAAAAATCTGGACAGGCCCATAAAGGGAGATAGCTTTTTGGGCAGCTTGGACCCAAGTCATTTAGGGTCAACACCAGCACTCGGAATTGTGCCTAGAAATGGATAGGCAGGCAATGGAGCTGTTGTAACAGGAGAGTTATGTGATCCCTGTAACCAACTCCAGTTACCAATCTGGCAGCAGCATATTGGACCCACTGAAGTTTCTGAACATTTTTCCAAAGGCAGTCCCACGTAAAGCACGTTACAGTAATCCAGACAGGATGTAAATAAGGCATGTCTCACCTTTACCTGATCAGATGTCTCAGGGAACAAGTGAAACCACTGCAGTAGTTTTAACTGAGTAAATACACTCCTGCTGCTGAAACTTGGGCATCCAAGCTCAGGGACATATCCAGGAGCACACCCAAGCTGCAAACCTGTATTTTCAGGAAGATTGTGACCCCAACCAGCAGAGGCAAAAACCCTTGTTCTCTTATCTGTCTTTTGATTGGCTAGGAGAAACCCTGTCTTGTCTGGATTAAGCTTCAGTTTATTCACCTTCATCCAGTCCATTACTGATGCCAGACACTCATTTAGAACCAAAAGTAGCTTTATTGGAATTAGATAAAAAGAAGAAGTAGGACTGGATGTCATCCACATACTGATGATACTGAATCCCCAAAAACTAGACAATCCTGGCGATTACAGACTTAAATTTGTTGATGCTGTGTCTGCTGCCGGTAGGGACGCACTCCAAAGTCTTGTGTCTATTCATTAGTGAAAACAAATAAACATATCACTGCTTTGTGCTAGCCTTCCTTAACCTGGTTCATTCCAGGTTTGTAGCACTATTACTCTTATAGTTGGACCGGGGATCCTGGGGAGTCAAAATTCAACACATTTGAAACATACTAGCTTGGAAAAAACTAGGAGAGAGGTTTTAATTTACAATTTCTTCTCCAGCTGTAGCGAAGCCATTTTTGTTGGCCTGTGACATTTAGAGCTACTGTCAAAATAAATAAATGGCAGGGGGGTAGATAGTGTGGTGATCCAGGGCTCTCAGGTGTGCGATTTAGATTCCAGAGAAGATCTTAATTTGCTCTGGAGCAGCCTTTCTGTGCGATAGCCTTGGTTCTCTTTCTGAAAATTGGGGGTAACAGTGAACCACCTGCTAAAGCTAATGAGATCATTATTACAGTAAGTTACAACAACAATGCTAGTATACTGTGGAAGATAAACAT